ATGATTGGAGATGGTTTGTATGGGGAATGAAGCAAAAGTTTATTATAAGATTAACATAACAGCAAATGTACAATCTTTCGACAAGGTTCTGTCATCATCAGCTTAGCAATAAATTTCAATAATAAATGGACAATACACAATCCACTTGTTTTGAAATATTGTGAAATACGAGTCAAATGTATGTATAAAATTCGTTACACTGTTGGTTATCTGTATCCAAAGCATTAAATAACTGTCTCTTTTTCATCAACGTTCACACTGGTGGGTTCAATTACTTTAAAACATCTTTTGACAAGACAAATTATTCTTTTCTATCTCTGTTATTACAATACAAGGATGTGATACTAACTTTAAAATCACCACTATAATTGTTGATTACCACAATTGTATCCAGAGCCTTGAATAATTGTCTCCTTTTCGTAAAGTCCACACAGGCAGATTCAATTACTTAAGAACACGCTTTGACAAGACAAATTATTCCTTTCTATCGCTGTTATTGTAATACAAGTTGTGAAACTCCCTTTAGAAATCACTACTCTACACTCTTTATGGCTAAATGCACAATCACACAGTCTAACTTCACTTTTACTTTTATTAATTTACTCTATTTGTGTCTGCACATATCTAAAACATGCGACAGAAAAATCTAGAAATATTACAAAAGCACAGTAATAGCAAAAAACATCTTTATTACAAACGCTTCGGAATTTCCTTAAATTCCTTCATCGGCATTAATACCTCAAAAAAAGAAGAAAAAAGTTAATTCATAATATTCGAACTACAATAAACAAAACAAAAAAAACATTAGCTTTGAGTGAGTTTTCCTATTCAATGGAAAGTATAGAAAGAGCAGATTTAAACAGTAACAATATAATGGAATGTACAATAAAACGTGTGGCATACACGTTTAATAAATAAGATTCTTAATGGAAACTATTATAGAGAAAAGCTTAAATATAAGTATAAACACTGTATACTTGATTATATTAATAACAATAAAGAAGAGTTGATGTTATTATTTAGTGTTGGGTGATCATTGAAAATGGAGAGACTTTCTTTAATAAAGAGTTTTTTGGTATTACCGTATTTTTAATATTTATTATAAAACTTCTTTTTCCAACTGATGAATTTGTTACAAATACTCTGACATGGCAGTATGGACACCATATGTTACACTTGTTTCCTACTCTACATACGCAATTTATGACTGTTACAGAGTTATGTAACAAAACATGTCATGACTATCTCCTTTAAAATAATTAACTTTTAACACTCTTGTGAAAACTAAATAATCATCAGATCACTAAATAAACCAAATAATAACTTAAACTGAACAGTCTTGTA